CTTTCCAGTCACTTCCTATCTATGTGCACTCCAGCAATGGCAGCATGGTAAGAACAGCCACTCATGGTCTCCATTAGAAGCCCATGTGTCATGGTAAGCTTGCATGAGCACAGCTGGAAGACAAGGGGTAGAGTGTTCTCACCCTGTAAGGACCTAAACTAGCACCTTAATCCAGCTATTATTTTATAAAAAATACCACAGATTTAAAAATGATTGAAAATGACTCTTTAAATTGCTTTATCATGCTGAAGCTTATATGAGATTTTAGTGATTTGGTGATGTACTTTTGGTTGGGCTGTGGCCTAACAATTGAATTTTAGAATTTAAAATGTTCAAAGATCCATTTTTGTAAAGGTATTTGTAGCCAGAGTTAAATAAAGACTGTATGGGGGTGATTTACTAACCTAAACACACACACACCAGGTGTGTGTGATTTTCACACAGCAAAACGTATTTATCAACCAAAAAGTCTCTAAAAGCATATTTCCAGTAATGCCATATATGGAAAAATCATGCACATGATGCATATATAATGCTGCTTCACAGTTTAGACAAAAATGGTTAGCTCATGCATTTACATTCCTTGCATTCATCAACGCAAGCAACACAACATAGAGCTAATTTACCCAACATCACCTTGGAATTCCTTCAGGGCTTTGCACAACACACCTGCTGGGTGTGTACACATTACAAAGGTGTTTAGATTCCACCCATAGATCATGCTGGGAGGGAACACACTGCAGAGGTGTATACACGTTCGTGGTGTGTTTATAAGGTTAGTAGATCAACCCCTATGTGTCAGACATCTCCTTTGATAGCAAATGTAATTGTTTCCTGTTCTAGACTCATGCAAATATTATCCTTTTATATCATACATATTACCAGAAATGTAAGTTTATTGTTCAGCTGCAATTTCACATCTGAAACTAATTCCTACAGATAATTGCAAACTTTGGCAGAGCTGCCTTCTATAGAAACATGTGATAGCAATATGTAAAAACATGTAGCCTGCTGACAGTGAAATCAAGTTCACCAGCTTACTGACTATATCTAGTTGAGTGGGTGATAACCAGAAGTGTCCTGCCGCTTTCTGCTGTCTGAGGAAGAATTTAAAGCTGAACTCCAGGAAGATATTAAAGAGACAGGCTATTGCAAGCAGTGCAAGTACCTGAATTTGACCTGGTACCAGTCTACCCTACAAGCATGGCTCAGGAAGAGGGTGGGGGAAGCAGCACGTTGAGCCAATGGGGGTGATTTACTAACCTAAACACACACACACACCAGGTGTGTGTGATTTTCACACAGCAAAACGTATTTATCAACCAAAAAGTCTCTAAAAGCATATTTCCACTAATGCCATATATGGAAAAATCATGCACATGATGCATATATAATGCTGCTTCACAGTTTAGACAAAAATGGTTAGCTCATGCATTTACATTCCTTGCATTCATCAACGCAAGCAACACAACATCGAGCTAATTTACCCAACATCACCTTGGAATTCAGTCAGGGCTTTGCACAACACAACTGCTGGGTGTGTACACATTACAAAGGTGTTTAGATTCCACCCATAGATCATGCTGGGAGGGAACACACTGCAGAGGTGTATACACGTTCGTGGTGTGTTTATAAGGTTAGTAAATCAACCCCAATGAGTTGTGCTACTGTGCAGGGAGCTTGCTGAAAGGAGGAGAGAGAGTACTGAAAGAGAGAGAAGCGTATTAATCTGCAGCTTCTCCTTCAACTGTCCAGTCACAGGGTGGGGGTGGGTACTTAAAGTGACACTAAACGCTGAAGTTTAGGGTTTTGAAGTTTTGGGGTGGAGGAACTTGACTGGCCTGCACAGAGTCCTGACCTCATCACGATATAACAGCTTTTGGGATAAATTAGAGCGGAGACTGCGAGCCCGGCCTTCTCCTCCAACATCAGTACCTGACCTCACAAATGCGCTTCTGGAAGAAGGGTCAAACATTCCCATAGACACACCCCTAAACCTTGTGGACGCCTTCCCAGAAGAGATGAAGCTGTTATAGCTGCAAAGGGCGGAGCCAACTCAATATTGAACCCTACAGACTAATGCTGGGCACACACCTTACAACCATCGCAAGACTTTTGTTGATCTTGGACAGGCAGATCGTACTTGCGATAATCACAAGCCTGCCCCGCTGAGGGGCAGGCCTCCCAATGACCGCAATGCTGAACGGCCAGTGTGCGCATGCGCACACTGGCCCATGCGGCTTTTATCTTGCGAACATGCCACGAACATGCCACAAACCAGCCGAAAATCATACGATTTTCGGCTGGTTTTCGAACATGTTCCTAAGATAAAAGTCGTGCGACCTTACAGTAGCAGAGGTCGCACACCTTACGATAATCGTACAATCGTGGGATTTCCCGCGATTATCGTACGATTAGCGCAAGGTGTGTGGCCACCTTTAGACTGGGATGCCATTAAAGTTCATGTGCGTGTAAAGGCCGGCGTCCCAATACTTTTGGTAATATAGTGCATATTTTACATTGTGTTACCTGCTCTTTGAGACTCTAGTACAATCCAAGAAAATGAGCAATCCATGCCCCACTTTAGTAACAATCAAATGAGATTTATTCCCGAATGAAAGTAGGGGACCTAATACCCGTGAAATATTCTTAGCTGTGTAGATTCGTGATGCATTGATTCTTCACATATTATTATTTTAATTAGTTCTGTATGACTGAGCATGTAAATGGTGTTGGAGGTTTTTGTTAGTCTGACGTACAGTGACAATACAGCACAAGGACCAATTCACTGATTTGCTAAGATGCAGTTGGCAAGTAATTGGTACAAGAAGATTACATCTACAACATAGCAGATTCATTAAGTGCAGCGCTAGTATGTCCATGTTGTGTATTACACCACAGCGGAGGGACATGGGAATAAATCAAGGCAGCAGCAAAAGGATTCTCATTGAGAGCCAGCTTGATGAAGTCTTCTATATGTGTTATTTGTGTTCTAAATTAACCTGCTTGTATGGCAACTTCCACAAGCCTCCTCCTCAGCAGTGTGTATAGAAATTATATTGCTCTAAAGCAACATGTTCGAGGGGTGTCTTAAAGCAAAAGTCTAATATTTATAATTAAAACAAATGTTTTCTCTAGTTTTTTTGTATCCACTGGCTATCTTTGTACAGAAGACTTGGCTGTATATGGATAGATATTTACAAGTACTGGGCTGATTATGTATTATTTCCGCTAACAATCCATTCAGGCTTTGTATCTCAACATAAATTGGCTAACTAAACATGGGATTGTAGGCCATCACAGGAGCGAGCTTGGAGCAGTGACTACTATACAACACACACAGGGACAATGCGGAACAAAAGTAGCCCCCCTCCAGAAGGAAGGACAGTATCAGCACCAGTGACGTGCTGTGCCTTCTGTGCTGGGTAAAAGATGGACACCGGCACTCCAAAGCAAATCTTGTGTTTTGCATTTGCAACAAGTACGTGAATAAATAGACGTACTGGATTTGCTTTGGAGTGCCGGTCTCCATCCTTTACTTATACTTCGACGGAAGCCACCTGCTGCACCCACTTTTTATCTCATGGAGCAGCGGTTCGGAGTGCGATGGGTACACAGACTGTATTCTGTGCTGGGTGAGGCATTCCCCAGCCCGCCCCATCCCACCAAAGCCTCGCCCCAGCTCAGTAACCAAGTTGTGTGGGGAGGAGGAAGGGAGGAGCATCCCTGTCCCTCACTTGCTCATCACTGCTGAGGCATTGAGATCGATGACTTCAGTGTTTTTTTTTTTGATTAGACAGCTTGGACCAATGGCGTTTTGCCATCCACAGTGCTCACGCCTCTTAACACAAAGTAGAGGCTGTGACAGCTCTTGCCTCACCAAGTTAGGTTACAGAAGCAGTGGGGAAGCACGCTGCTGTGTAACCTAACTACCTGTCAAAAGCCGGATGTAGTGCTGCCTGTAATTAACAGGCAGCGCTCCGTCCATGACAGGTCACACGGCGGGGAGGATTTCCCTGTGTAACCTGTTACAAGCCGGTCTGAATGAAGAAAAAGCTGTCGGCTTCAGACTTGAAGCTGACACCTTTTTTCTTCATAATACTAGGTGAGGATCTGCGTCACTTGCCTCCCCTGACCGCATGTCCCTGGTCAGCACCAATTCAGAGATGATTTGAGGGTCTACAGCTGAGTGATACACAAATAAGATACATTGTTGTTAATCCTTCCCCACTATCTAGAACTAAAAAAGAGAAAGTTGGACTTACACTCTTTGGATCCCTCCAGTGCTGGCCGCATGACCAAGCCAGAGATCATGTGATCTTTGCTGAAGCAAAGGAACATCCAATCCAACCTAGGTTACCCAAGTCATCTGTCTGTCCCTTTCTTTTCTTACCTAGGTTCCTGAAGTCATCCGTCTGACCCGCTCCTTTTTTTGGTAAATTCTTTATGTATGGTTTGCTGAGTTTCACTTTTCCAAATAGCTCTGAATTTCCCCCTTGTGGTCTGTATGGGTGCTTATATATGCAGTGTATATAGACAGAAGTCAGTCTCCTTTTATTTCTGCGTACTAATTAGATTTAAGGTTTCTTCTGTACACTGCAAATGATCGCCAGCCTCTCTGGGGTGTGTATAATGTCTAATCAGAGGCTGTGAGAGATAGATAGATAGATAGATAGATAGATAGATAGATAGATAGATAGATAGATATATAATGTCTAAAGAGTGTGAGTGAGAGATAGATAGATAGATAGATAGATAGATAGATAGATAGATAGATAGATATACACATATATATTCCAGTCACTCAGGACTGTGACTTGGACCATATGTTTTAAGTGCAGCTTTCATCGCCTCCGATTAAACATATCTGTTAGCTCGCTGTTCGCTGTCAGCGTTACAGGAAATGGAGTTGGAAGCAGCAGAAGATTCGATGGCTGAAATGCTGACGGATGATTATTGCTCCCCTTTGTAATAAAACATTTTCTTATGCTGTTTTACAGTGACGGTGAGCGTTGGAGGGAAGCAGTATCTCCTGGGACTCTATGACACTGCAGGACAGGTAACCACCATCTCTTATAAATGTTATGTCATTTTCCATTTTTGAAGTAGCAGTAATCAGGGCCAAGAGCAGCACAAAGCCTCACAATTTATAAAGAACATTTCCATATATCGTTTCCCTCTATTGGCCACCTCTGGGGATTTCTGCATAAATTTAGCAAAAAGAAAAAAAAAACTGTAGGAGACTGTTGAGAGGATTCAGGAGGCTCTTTACAGTTAAAAGAAGTTGTGCATATAAAGCAAACTGAATGCTGCCTCTAATAGCACACGGTAGCATTAGCGTAGCTAAAATAATCACATGGCACAAGGGGTGGAGCTTGTACAAAACTGCGTCATTGTTCAAATATATCTAAACCCAAAACTTTTTTTAGGAAGTGACTTAGAAAGTTGTCACCGAACGCATGTCCCCTATTCCCATTCTGGTGAATTTTTTTTTTCTTCACTTTCAACCTTTGTCCCAACGATC